ACCGGTCAAAAGCCTCCTGGAGGTCCTCAGAAGCCAGCGATGGTGGTGGTGGGGGACTCCCCACAGGGCCTGCTGAGGCCTCCGGAGGCCTGGGAAGCCAGCGATGGTGCCTGGGGGAGGCCCCCACGGGGCCTGCTGAGGCCTCCGAAGGCCTGGGAAACCAGCGATGGTGGCATGGAGGGGACAGTATTCGCTCCATAAGACGGATGCACTTCCCCCCCAATTTTTTTGGGAGAAAAAGTACGTCTTATGGTGCAAAAAATACGGTAACTACCTATGCAATTCTGTTGCTCTTTTGTCCACCATAATGTGGAAAACGCCCAAATCTAGGGACTGGTGGTTGAGACATAGGTGATGACTATATTACTGAACAAGCTGAGCTGCAGAAAATAGATAACAAAAGCTCAAAATTCAACTCTGAAATTCAGGCCTTTTACATATAAAAATATAAAGGAACCAGGAATTGTTCATCTAATTCAATACAGTACCAGGAAAAAAAAAATCCATGACTCCTTAAGATTAATCACAGAAGAGAGAGAGAAGGAACTACAGTCCCAGTGAATGAAAAATTATGATCTGATGTAGTGAAAGAGAAAATATGTTTAACACAATTTGTTTAAGCTGTCTGTAAAGCACTGTATACTCACCAATATTGCAATATTTTCCTACGAAAGGCTGTTTGCACGCACAGACGGTTCTGTTAGTGGAGAGAATCCTCCTGCAAGAACTGTCATGGAGGCAGGGATTGACAGTACACTCTACAAGGAAAAATAAAAATTCACACAATGTAATACCCGGCTATGCCAAGAACCCTGTGTACAAGTGGCCCTATGAAACCTTACTGTTTTCATTGCAAGTCAGAAGCTCAGCGAGCATGGAGCTAGCTGAGTTTCCTTGGGGATGGAGTTTAGCAACTGAGATGCCACTACAGAGAAAGCCCTGTCTTACATACTGGCCAATCTAGTTTTTAGAGAAACTAGAACTAAACAAAACATAGGGTATCACAATATACCCATACTGCCTACATGGATATAATGTCATTTCAGCCCTTAGTAGGTGCCATTTCTTGGGATTCTAGAGCATAAGTGAACATGGGAAGTCCTCAACACAATTCATTAAACCTACTGTCAAGGTTCAGCAGGAGAGGCACCAGGACCTAGTCCAGGGCAAGACTACAGCAACAAGGTAGAACCAGCCCCACAGCCCAGAGACCAACCAGCTGGGGTTTTGAGTCCAAAGAGTAGCCGGGTAGAAGGATGATGCAAATTGTGGTCAGACCAGGAGGAACTGTATCAAGGAAGCAGGGTCTATGGATGCAGGAGAGGTAAGGCAGGAACAACCAGGCAGGGCAGGGATCACCAGGCAAAGCAGGAACAAGGAGGCTGGCAGGCAAGGCAGGAGCATGGCAGCTCTTCAGAGACAGAACCTTTCCAGTCCACCAGATAATGCCGTGTCCCTCAAATGTGTTTGGAGTCCAGCATTCTGGCAACCTCAAATTCTTCATGGTCCTGAACCTTCATAGGTGGAGGCGGGGGGGTCTGATGTCCAAGGAACGCATTGGCCGTAAATGATTACAGTAGGGACATGTGGAACATGGTGTAGATCCAGAGGTGTGCTGGAAGACCCAACTCATAAGTGACTCAGTTGATTTACTGGGTGACATGTAAAGCCCCTTGAAATTTATAATCCAACTTAGCAGATGGGTGTGGAGCATAGCAATGTTTCATGGATAACCAAATACTGTCCCCAAAACAGAACTGGGGTGCTTCTCAGCATTGCTGGTCTGCCTGTACTTTATAGGCAGCCTTGGCAGGGTCCAAGTGCTGCTGGAATTCCACCTGCATGGTGTGTAGAAACTGGAAGCGGTCAGCAGGGAACTTCCAGGGAAGTAGCTGGTGTGCTCAGGTGGTCTTGTGGATGCTGCCCATTATTTGAAAATAAAGGGCTTAGTCCTGTAGAGGAGTGGTCCATGTTGTTGTAAGCAAATTCCACCAAGGGCAGAAGGTCCACACAGTCATCTTGGTGGAAGTTCAGGAAGCAATGGAGATACTGTTACAGGACCTGGTTCACTCACTCCATATGCCCATCTGTTTCTGGGTGATGTGCTGAGGACAACCGCCTTTCCACACCAAGCTTTAGGAATGCAGTCCAGAAATGGGTGGTAAACTGGGCACCGCAATTAGTGACGATGGCATCAGGGAGGCCATGGAGCCGGAAAATATGTGTGAGAACAAGATGAGCAGTCTGGGTTGCACTGGGCAGTTTAGGCACAGGGGCAAAATGTGTCATCTTCATAAACATATCCACCATGACCAGAATTATTGTGTGACCCTGTGATGGAAGGAGGTCCACAATAAAATCAAGAGACACCATGGACCATGGGCGAGGGGTGGGTGGGCAGAGGCTGTAGCAACCCTTTGGGGAGGTGATGGCTAGATAGCTTAGTTCAGGCACAGTATCACAGGACTGTATATATGTATGGATGTCTGACTGTCATGTCATCCACGAGTAAGTCCGAGCCACCAAATGTGTGGTCTTAGCAAATCCGCAATGACCTGCAGTGCATTGCTGCAGTACTTGAAGCCAGAGGTCTCCTTCCGGAATATAGAGGCGGATGCTGAAAAACAGACAGCCATCTCCCCAAGTCCACAGGCAAGGGCCCCATGTTGGGTGCAAGAGACTGGGCATAAGGGTCAGTCTTCAGGGACTGCCCAACGTGCTGCAGAAAGGCCTGAGTCACTGATCCTCATAGGAAGCTGTGGGGCAGGAACATAGGAGTCGGCTCAGGAGTGTCTCCTTCACGGTCATCTTGGGGTGAAAGGGCATCAGCCTTTCCATTCTGTGACCCAGGGCAGTAAGTAATCTGGAGATGAACTGTGCCCACTGAGCATGACACGACTGTAGACACTTCATAGCTAGAAGTGCTCCAGATTCCTGTGATCAGTGAGCACCTGCACTGGGTGTTTAACACCCTCGGCACTACTGGACGCATCAGTTTCCAGAACAAATGGCAGCTCAGGATCCAGATGGACCAGGATGGGGCCTGAAGTGAAGATGGTCTTGAGTCCTTCAAATGCTTTCAGAGCCTGAGGGGGTCCATGAAAATTTAGCCCCCTTCCTCAGGAGAGCTGTGAGTGGGGCAATGCAGTGAGAGAAGCCTTGAATAAGCCAGCAATAGAGGTTAGCAAAGCCCAAAAAATCACTGAAGAGCCTTTACCCCTTTTGGGAATTCCCAGTCCATGATGGCTTGGACCTTGTGACAGTCCCTTTGTAACCTTTCTGGGGAAACAATATAGCCCAGAAATTCCATAGAGGTCTGGTGGAAAAGGCACTTTTCCAGCCAGGTGATGCTTCCAGAGGCAAAGGAGAATTATCCAGACATGTGAAATATGTTTCTCCAGGGTGTCTGAAAAAAACAGAATTTCATCCAAATAGACAACCACAAAACAGTCCAGGAGATCTTGGAAGATGTCATTGATAAACTGGAAAATCGCTGGGACATTGCACAAACCAAATGGCATGACCAAATATTCAAAATGGCCATAACGAGTGTGAAATGGTATCTTCCACTTATCACCCTCCTGGATTCTCACCAGATTATATGCCCCATGAAGATCTAACTTAGAAAAGAGGTGAGCTCCCTGAAGCTGCTTGAACAATTCCAGGATTAGATGTAGAGGGTATTGGTTCTTGGTTGTTACCTGGTTCAGTTGTCACTAACTTTGGTTCTTGATTGTTACCTGGTTCAGTTGTCACTAAACAGTCCAAGGGCACAATCCCCCATCTTTCTTTTTGACAAAGATAATAGGTGTCCCTGCAGGCAAGGTGAATGGGTGAATAAACCTTCTGGCTAGGTTCTCTTTCAGGTTTTTGCGGAGAGCCCCCAGTTCAGGAGCAGACAGGGCATAGATCTATCCAAAAGGAATCTCCATGCAGGGGTGGAGATCAATAGGACAATCATAAGGCTGGTGTGGGGGCAATGTCTCAGCCCTCCCTTTTTTTTCAAAAACATCAGCCAGATCCTGGTGCAGTGCAGGGATGGTAACTTCCAGCTTCTGGGGGCAGTCTTCTGTTGAGGATTCAGCTACCGCACCCACCCCAACCTTGACCATAGTATCCTGGAAACAGTTTTCCTGACAATGGGCAGATGGGAAATGGACCGTCCGCTGGGCCCAAGAAATCTCAAGGTCGTATTTTGTTAACCAGGTAATCCCCAGGATTACTGGGAAGTGAAGTGCACTGATCAAATCAAATCAAGTCAGTTTGTGGTGAGTAGAGCTCACGAGCATTCCCAAAGGTTCTGTTTCTTGTATCACTGGACCTGATGCAAGGAGAGTACTGTCCAATCCTTCCACTGGTACAGGGACCAGCTTCAGCTGGCAGGAGATCTGAAACTTTCTTGCAACTTGATGTCCATGAAGTTAGATGATGCCCCAGAGTCTATCACAGCCAGCCCTTCATGGATAGCTCCCTGTAGGCTACCCCTTACAACCGTCGGGAGGAGCCATTTCCTGCTTGTTGAACCTTGGTGGGACAGGTGGAAGTGTAGTGGCCTTGGGTACCACAATAACGGCAAAGCTCTTGGTCGCTACAGCATTGCTTCTCAGCAAAGGTTAAGTGGTGATGAGAACCATCCACCTGCACTGGCTCTTGGGGTGGGCAGGCCCAACCCCAGCATGATGGCAGCTGTTCTTAAACAGAGAGTGGCAGCGCTCATGTTCCCGCTCTACCAACTGAGTGTCTATGTTAACACAGAGGGTAATGAATTAGTTCAAAGTGGTAGGCACAGTGACACGGGCTAGCTCATCCTTAAGAGCAGCATTCACTCCAGTCTGGAAATGGAACCGCTCTGCCACTTCATTCCGGGCAGCATAAGCTGCAAAGCAGCAAAACTCAGCTGCATAGTCAGCCACTGATCTGCAGCCCTGCCTTAGTGACTGCAGAGCCAAATCCACTGACTGCTGCCAGTTAGCATCTCCAAATATCTGCTCAAGAGCCTGCAAAAACACAGTCAGACCTCCCAATGAGGCATGATCCAGTTCAAGCAGACACCCAAACTAATGCTGGGCCTGACAGTAAACTGACCATCAGTGCCACCTTGCTTTGTTTACTGGGGTAGGCATCCAGACACATACAAAAAAGAAGCAGGTACTGGTTAATGAACCCCCTTAACTCCTTGCATTCCCCAAAAAACAGGCTGGCAAAGGGGGTGCTGGAGCCCTGACAGGTGGTGAAGATGCTGGCACATTCTGGAGTGCAGCAACCTGGGAAGGCAGGGCCAGGACTTCTGCTTGTAGAGCCCATATAACATGGCTTACATCTGTGGACATGATGACTAGGTTGGGGTGCAAGCGGCATCAGCAAACTGTCAGGGTTCAGTAGGAGAGGCACCAGGACCCAGTCCAGGGCAAGACTACAGGAACAAGATAGAAACCCTCCCCCCCACAGCCCAAACAGAGACCAACCAGCTGGGGGATTGAGTCCATACAGTAGCCAGGTAGAAGGATAATGCAAAACATGGTCAGACAGTCCAGGAAGAACTGTATCAAGGCAGCAGGGATTAGAGATGCAGGAACAAGGAGGTTTATTTATTTATTTATTTATTTATTTATTTATCTATTTATCTATTTACTTTATATCCCGCCTATCTGGTCAAGCG